GAGCCCTGGTTATAGTCCATAGAATTGATTAAGGAAACTGAGGCAGGGAAGGGTTAGGTGATTTAGCAGTGGTCACACTGCAAATCACAGGTTTTTCTAGGACCTGTTCTTGCATCCAGCCTGGGGCACATTTCATGAGCTGATGCACAAAGGAAGACCATAGGTACCACTTTAATGCCCTTTGCTCTCCTCCTGTTCATTCCTCATCTCATTCCCAATAGACTTCCCCTCACAGCTGTCCACCGATGTAGCTAAGCCTCTTCAATGATCTTCACATCATTAAGTCCAAGGTTCCTTTTCTCATCCTCACCTTACAGAATCTCTAAGCAGGATTTCACTTAGAAGACCACTGCTTTCTTCTTCAACACAAACTTCCCTTGGTCACCATCACATCGCATCTCACAGTTTCTATTCTCTGGCTGCCCCTTCTCTGTGTCCTTCACCTGCTCATCCTCTCAGTTTAGGCCATCAAGACTCATAGTACCAAAGACTCCATACTGGGCCCTTTTCTCTTCTCTCTCTGTACTTTCTGTCCATCTTGTCCGTGTTCATGGCTTCAATAGCCACTCATTCACAAATTCCGAATTGTATATCTCCTGCCAACACCATCTTCTGAGTTCCAGTCCTGTACTGTATGTCCACTTCTACTTACAGATGTCTCAAATTTACCTTGCAGTCTAAGCCCAAGCATTCTCTCCCTGCATTAGAGCCACTCCCCTTCCAATGTCTATCCCAATGAATGGCACTGTCGTCAATTCAGTAGTGCAACTTAAGAGATCTGGAGTCATTCTTGGTGCCTTCCTCTCTCTCTCCCTCCAGATTTTATGCATTACCAAATCCAGTCCACTTAACCTCTAAATACCTCTCAAATATATCCATTTCTCTTCTTCCATATTCCCATATCACAAAGTCAAACCACCATTGTGTCCTGCCTAGGCTACTTCAACAAGCACTTAACAGATTTCCCTGCGCCTATTCTTGCTGTCTTCCAGCCTATTATCCTGCAGTTAAAAAAAATACATATTTTCAAAGGATTAATATGATAACGGCTCCCACCACATCTTCTCTGTGTCCCATCCAAGTCATTTGATGGTTTCTCAGTGCTCTTTGGAGAAAGATCAAATCCTTATCCTCCATAAAATATCCTGTGCCCTGCAGCTTTTACCCATCCTACAGCCTCTATTCACATCATGCTCCCACTGTTCTCTGAATTCCAACTGCCCTGGTCTTCTTTCAGCTCCTTGGCTATTCCAAGTTCCATCTGACTACAAGAAAAACTGAATCACAAATCCAGGAACCTCTCTTCTGTTAAATTCCCTCACAGCACCACATACTTTTTCATCATAAAACATTAAAGCATTAATGTTACATGTATTTATGTGTTTATCTGTTTGATGCCTATCTTTGCCACCAGACTATATGCTTCATGAAGATGGGACCACGTTCACTTTTGCTCATCATTATATTCACACTACTAATCACTGTGCCTAGCACATACTAACATGCAATAAAAATGTGTCCAATGAATAACAATGATTGTATCAATTAGGCAATCAATAAGTTATGTTTTCTTAGATTTCTTCCTGTTTTAATATTCATATATATATATATATACACACCATATTAGATGACTGACACAGTTTAGATATTTGTCCCTGCCCAAATCTCATGTTGAATTGTAATCCCCGGTGCTGGAGGTGGGGCTCGGTGGGAGGTGTTTGGGTCATGGGCACAGATCCCTCATGGCTTGGTGCTGTCTTTCTGTTAGTGGGTTGTTTAAAGGTGTGTGACACCTCCCTCCCAACTCTCTCTCGCTTGTTCTTGCTTTTGTTATGTGATGTGCCTGCTCCTGCTTTGCCTTCCACCATGACTAAAAACTCCCTGAGGCTTCACTAGAAGCTAAACAGATGCCGGCATCATACTTCCAATAAAGCCTGCAGAACCATGAGTCAATTAAACCTCTCCTTTTTAAATAAATGACCCAGTCTCTGGTGTTTCTTTATAGCAATGCAAGAATGGCCTAATACAATGACCTGTTGTCTGAAGCAGTTTTTCCTTCTATTTGCACTCAGTTTACACCATACAAGATTCAAATTGTTTCCTTTTATGAAAAGAATTTCAGGAGAATTTGGTGAACAAGTCTATATTCGTATTTTTGATTCAAGATGATTGAGGCTTCATCCTGGTATCTGAAAAAACGACAGCACATGTGCAAAAATGAGGATGCTGTGAAACAGGAATGCTCCCTAGCAAGGTTTGCTAGCTGAAACTAGGAGGGCAGGGTGCCAGTGCCTGCTCTGTCTTTATTCAGCAGCTCGACCATGAGGAAATCACTTCCTTCCCTGGTCCTTGGTTTGTTCATCTGGGAAATTAAAGCATTGTTCTAAATGAGGAGGCTTCTGCCTTCACCACGTGACATGATTTATGAGAATGGCCATCCTACTGGCTGTCATTTCCATGTGAAACCAGAATTCTCTCTGTGGGGAGAAGGTCTTTCAGAGCAAAGCTTTTCCTTCTCCATGGCTATAATTTTTTCTGGTAGTTCTTAACCTGCCACTTACAATGGGAATGTAACAAGAAAAATTTCACTTAATCTCTGTAGAGTTCACCTTTATCGTTCTGCCTAATACTCACCCTTCCATGATGAAGAGGGAGAAGACGGTGTCTCATCTGCCAATAACCCATTTCTAGAAATGATGTAGTCAGAATAGCAGGTGCCGTATTCTGGTGTGTGCTGTAAAAGGAAAGCCTCAGGGTCAGGAGCCAGGACACGTGACCCAAGTCCTCCACTTCCTGGCTATGAGCTTTGGACATGGCCACTCAACTTCTGTGAGTCTCGAGTCTTTAATTAATAAAATATATGTCTAACTGGTTTACTTTACAGAGAGGTCATGAGAACCATATAGGACAGCATTTAAGAAAACAATCCGAAAACATTAGGATGCAGTAAACATGGGTTTTCAAATGCCCAAAAGATGTGTCAAGGAAAAAAAAAGGCATATAGAGTCACAATAATGCCAACATCATAGAAATTACACTTCCAGCAGTCATTTGGTGCCAACTCTGAGGCACCTCCTTCTCCACAGACCAAGGTCACAGCATTCCAAAAGCCCTGTCCCCCTCTAAGTGATCCTCTGAGAATTTCGGGACTATTTAGTGAAGTCCTGAACTGTTCACCTTGCAGGATGAGAAAGGATTGAAACTCACATATTTAGAAAAATGATAGCATCATCAACAAGTAAATATCAATAACAAATGGATAAAAGCATGTTCACGATATTCTAATTCAAAGTATTATGTAGACTGAAAAAAAAATAGTATTTACCCAAGAAAATGTATTTCTTGTTCTGGTTCAGTAATATCTTGGTTTTAGCACTATCTGAGACCAATTTTTCCAAACCAACTTGTAGTCAGTAGAATGAAAACCCTTACATATAATGTCAATTGATTTTCAGTAACGGTGCCAAGACCATCAATGGGGAACGGACAGTATCTTCAACAAATGGGAAAACTGGATATCTACATGCTAAAGAACCAACTGGGCCCTTACCTTATCTTACCCTACCTTGTACTATGTGTACAAATCAACTCAAAATGGAATAAAGAGATAAAACTATAAAGCTCCTAGAAGAAAACATAGGGCAAGAGCTTTATAATATTGCATTTGTCAATGATTTCTTGGATATGACACCAAAAGCACAAGCAACAAAAGAAAAAATAGATAAATTGAACTTGATCGAAATTGAAAACTTTGTGCCCTAAAGACCTCTACCAAGAGAGTGAAAAGGCAACCCAAATGGGAGAAAGTATTTGCAAATCATGTATCTGGTAAGGAATTAATATCTAGAATGTATAAAGAGGTCGTGTAATTAAAAAAAAAAATGAGCAGCCCGATTCCAACCTAGTCAAAGGCTCTGAATAGATGTTTCTCCAAAGAAGATATACAACAAATGGCTAATAAGCACCAAAAGATGTGCGACAACTAGCCACTAGGGACATGCAAATCAAAACCACAACAAGATACAATTTCACACTTACAAGGATTACCATTATCAAAAAACAAAACATTTAAAAAAAAACCATGTTGGTAAGGATATAAAGACATTGGAAGCTTTGTACATTTCTGATGGGAAGGTAAAATGGTGCAGTCACTGTGAAAACACTTTGCTAGTTCCTCAAAAAAATTAAAGATAGAATTACTATATGATCCAGCAATTTCACTTGTAAGTATATATCCAAAAGAACTGAAGAGAGGGAATCAAACAGACACCAATATTCATAGCAGTATTATTCACCATAGCCAAAATGTGGAAACAACTCAGATGTCCACCAACAGATGACTGGATAAACAGAATATGGTATATACATAGAATGGAATATTATTCAAGCCCAAAAAGGAATAAAGTTCTGACACATGCTATAACATGAATGAACCATAAACATTATTCTAAGTGAAATAAGCCAGATATAAAAGGACAAATATTATATGAATCTACTTACATGAGGTACCTAGAATGAGGAAATCCATATAGACAAAAGGTAAACAGAGGTTACCAGGGGCTGGAGGGAGGAAGGAATGGGGGTTAATGTTCAATAGGGGCAGAGTTTCTGTTTGGGGTGATTAAAAGTTCTGGAGATGGATGACCATGATGTTTGCACAAAAATGTAAATATACTCAATATCATTGAATGGTACACTTAAAAGTGTTTAAAATGGTGAATGTTATATATATATATATAACCACAATAAATAAAATATAGAATGGAGGTCCTCGCAACATGGAAAATTGTTTTTCTGTCACTTGATATGGAAAGCGGATGTGTTCTATTTACTGAAGAGTCTTCAAGCTCAGGGAGGAAAGGCAGAATTCATAGAAAAGAGCCAGCACCTGAATTTCCCAGTGCCCCCTGCAGCCCTTACTCATGCTCATCAATCTAAGGTTTTCTGCAATCAATTTTCTTCTTTCCCCCTTTCAAATGCTTTTCATGATGGCAAATAAGGATGTCAAGCTTCATCACTTTTCATCTCTGGATAAATGAGATGTAACCCCAGCTGCCGTCCTTGTTCAGATCTGTACAATAAAGAGCAAAGCATAAAACCAAGTCAAGGCTTTGAGTAAGTCTGGGGAAATAGAAGACACTAGTCCTTAGGGGCTGGAGGAGGGAAACAACCGAGAGAGAGGAGCGAGGAGAGAAGCAAGAGGTCGTGCAGATGATGAAAGTGTTTTATAACTTGATGTGAAATTTCCAGATGGTGGTAGTTACATGTATATTTACTTTAGGATTATTTATGATAACATACACTCCTATGTAATATTTTGAATGTGTCCTAGAGGTTGCCAAAAAAATCGCCTTTAAAATGTATAATTAACAAGATTATTGACACACTGAGTGTAATAAACGAGGAAGACAAAGTCATTGAGGAAGTTCCCAATCTTCCTGTCTGGATGACTTTTCTCTCTCTAAGCCTGCTGCATGTTAACTTGCTCTTAGCAGTTAGTTCTTCACAAAGGAAATGACATCAGTTCAAAGTGTTAGTCTTTACCTTCCACTCAGTCTAACTCAGCTCAGTGCAGTCCCTAGGGAAAGGATGAACCCTAAACTAAGACTCAAAATATTACTCAAGTGATAGACTTAAATTTCCTACTCTCATGACTGATGGAGCAGAAGATTTCACAATACTTTGTAATAAAAGCAAAAAGTGTAAATCTTCAAAACACACAAAAAAAGTACTCCAATAACGGTCTTTTCCCTCTGCCTTGCAGGGGAGTGACCTACAAAATGTATAATGTGAAACAATGCAAATGTGAAATGTGCAAAATTCCCATGAAGGAGCTGGATGCTGACAGATGCGCCAGTGATAATTCCCATCTTCCAACACAGGAGCACAGCTTCCATTTTCCATGACAGAACAACAGTCAGAGCAGCTGTAAGGCAGGGTGACATCCCAGACTTCCACCAACAATGGGATGAGATTTGACATCTGGAATCACAACCACAACAGACCTAAGAGACCCACCAGCTTGATGACGAGCTTCTTCTTTCAAAGAAAGGTATAAGTCTGGGGGACCTAGTACTGCAAACCATGACAAATTAAGTGTGGCATCCCTCACTTGCCTGATGGAACTCAGTGATATTTTTTAATTAACAAGAGTTATTTTTATGCAAGCTTCTCTCTTTCCTCCACTGTGTGTGCTTGGGGGCTGGTGGTGAGGAAAAAGAAAACAGCTGTGTGGGAAGCATCAAGAAAAGGCAGGGCATGCAATCTTAGAGATCAGTGACATGTAAGAAAAACAGTGAGGAGAAAAACATTTCTACTAAATTTTTCCATTTGTTTACCTTCCTTGTCATATAGACTTCCAAGAGTTGGAAGTCCAGGATTTGATCTCCAAATCTTCCTGGCAGATTACTCATCTTCATTTCATTCATATAGTCCAGGGGTTTGTACAAAGGAAGATGCCAGTTCTTTCCCAATCATAACTGAGGTATCAAGAGATATTCTTTTGAAATGTAACAAAGCAGATCTAAAGTTCATCTAAAAAAAAATGGGTAAGTATATTGACAAATATTTTGGCAAAATAAAAGTAATGAGGAGATACTAGCATTAGCCTCATCAGGCATTAAAATATATTATAAAGTTATAATATGTAAAACAGCTTGGGGCTGGCACTGAAACTGACAGTTCAATTGAAGAGAATAGACAAGCAAGAAGTAAATCTTGATGTATGCAAGAATTTAATAAATTTGAAAGATGGTAAGGAAAGATAGGATTGCTCAAAAAATGGTTTTGGTGCGATCGATTAACTTTTCATAAACTGGGTCAACGCTTACTAGATACTGCTCTAAGACACTCACCCATGCCAAGTGTCCCCCAGCTCTCTGCGTTTCCCAGCTATACGACACCAGAGCTCAGGAGGCTCTGGTCCTCTCCATCCTGGTCTCCCACCATTGTCTCTGCAGCCCCCAATCTTGCTGAGATCACAGCTCCCATGGGCACCATTACCCTCTACTGCCAGCATCACTCTTGGGCAAGGAAAACTCCACCCTCCCACGAGCTTCTTAGGTCAAACTGTGGTCACAGGCCTCCATAACTCCCATAGAATACCTGAGATCAGGACATCTGCGAGTATCTGGGATGTCTTTATTATAATCCGTGGTCGCCAGAGGTTAGTGGGGAGGGAGGGATGAATAAGCAGAGCATAGAGGAATTTTAGGGCAGTGAAACTACCCTGTATGATATGTATAATGTGAAACAATGCAAATGTGAAAGGTGCAAAATTCCCATGAAGGAGCTGGATGCTGACAGATGCGCCAGTGATAATTCCCATCTTCCAGACATCCCAGATACTCGCGCAGATGTCCTGATCTCAGGTTCTATGGGAGTTATGGAGGCCCTGTGACCACAGTTTGACCTAAGAAGCTCGGTGGACGGTGAGTTTTCCTTGCCCAAGAGTGATGCTGGCAGTAGAGGGTAATGGTGCCCATGGGAGCTGTTGATCTCAGCAAGATTGGGGGCTGCAGAGACAATGGTGGAGACCAGGATGGAGAGGACCAGGCCTCCCTGAGCTCTGGGTGTCGTATAGCTGGGAAACGGCAGAGAGCTGGGC